GAAAGGGGTTGTGGAATTTGAATAATAGAGGGGTGTTTCTACAAAATCCCCAAAAGTTAATTTGTTCTGGTTGAAAAATTTTCTTTTTGAGGTAAATTGTCCTGGTTGAAATTAACCCTGTAAATAACATTGAGCTAGGATTAAGTAAGGTTAAGCATATATCAGTGCAAACAAATTAAGTAAAGTTTAGTAGTTCGGTTCGGTTTTAAAAAAAATTCAGATATGTTTTATTTTAGAATATTTGGAACTTAAATAACCAAACCGACTATTCTCATAAGACTTGCACTTTTTTCTAGGCGTAAAATAACGTTTAACTAATATTTATTTATATATTTTTATTGACAAAAATCCAATTATAGTTAAAATGAGTTGATTTGACGAGTTGGCCCTTCAACTTAGAATACAAGATGATGAGAGGTTTGAGGCAGCTAGAGAGTTGAGTTTTAGTTAAAACCACTCTAATTTGACATGTCTAGGCTCATATAGTGAACAAATTGAACCGCACCGAACCAATTTGAATCGATTCAATTCACTTTTGAATCTAGTTCAGTTCAGTTCGATTTTGAAAAAAAAAAGGGGTTAAAATCAACCCAACCTAATGTTTGCTCACCCCTAGCCCCTAGGAAGGCAGCAGACGGAGGGAATAAAAATATGGCATGAATTTGATTGTTTGCAGAGAGTCAAAATATTAAGGATTCTTGCAATTAATTATTTGTTAACGTGACCATATAAGCCATATATATAAATTTAAGTTTGATGATACTTTCTTGGTCTTTAAGGGGGTGTTTGTTTCAAATCCAATAATTTTAGGATATGGATTTCACCATAGGATTTGAAATCCATAGGTAATTTGTTATGAGTTGGGATTCCTAAAACTTTGTTTGTTTCAACAATATTTTGGGATTTGGAAAACTATAATTTATAATATTTTTGTTTGTTTAAAACTTTTTGGAATTTGAAATCCTTAATTTGTCTAATACTTTTGAAATCCACCCCACATCCCACCCAAAAAAGAGGATTTCACAAATTCTTAAATATAATATTTTTTTATTATTTGGGGATTTGATATTCTAAAATTTGTTTTGAAACAAATAAGTTTTATGGAATTCTAAAACCCAAAAAACCCACTTTTTGATCCTAGAATTTAAAATCCCACCCAAATGCCAAATTTTTTTTTGAAACAAACACCCCCTAAACATCATTAGAGTAAGATTTCCAGCCCGGATGCCAATTAAAATCAGGTCAAGTCTAATTAATTAAATCCCAAGTCCTACTCGGTCTCAACCTCGCGTAAACAGAAACTGCCGATACCCGAAATCTATAAATATACGCCAACGCCAAAATATTATTATCGTCTCCCGAATCCAAAACCCTTAAAACCTTGAAAAAGAACAGAGAGACAAAAAACCATGAAAGAAGAAAGAGATCCCGGCAAAAAACAACCCTTGGTTTTTGATGGAGTTCGAGATGTATACGCGAACAATGTGCATCAAGAACTCGAGCTGATGTCGGCCCTCCGAAAGTCGTTCAACTTCGTCATCATCGACACAGAATTCCCTGGTTTCCTACGATCAACCCCTCGCGGTGCATCCGAAGAAGAGATCTACAGCGCTCTCAAGTACAACGTCGACAACATGAAGCTTGTTCAGTTAGGGATCACGTTGTCCAATGGAAAGATCTCTCTGGCCTGGCAATTCAACTTGAAAGATTTCGATCACGAGGCAGACAATCGCTCAGAAGACTCGATCGAGCTTCTGAAAAGGAGCGGGATTGATTTCGACAAGAACCGCAAATATGGCATAAGCGCGGATGTTCTTTCGATAGGGTTGACGGAGAAACTGATAGCAGGCTGTGAAGGGCTGAAGTGGATCACTTTCCATGGTTTATATGACCTGGCTTATCTGATAAAGCTCGTCTATAAGATGCCTCTGCCAGAGACACTGGCGGGTTTCTTGGGGCTTGTTCGAATACTGTTTGGTCCCATGGTTTACGATGTGAAATATATGGCGAAAAGATGCAGTGCGTATTTTGCTGAAGTTGGGTTGGTTAAACTCTCGAAGATGCTCGGGATTAATTGGAGGGGGAAACCGCATCAGGCTGGCCATGACAGTCTACTGACCGCAAAAGTTTTCTGGGAGATGATGAACAAGTTTGATGGTTTCAAAGAAGACGAGCATGCTGGGATACTGTATGGGTTCGAGGAAAATGCGAGAAAAGAGTTGGAGAATCCTCAGATGTCCTACTATCCTATAGTCCCTGATCTGATGAACCTCAGCCCAAATTATGCATCTTATGATTACTTTTATGCTTTTCCTGTAGCTTACAATCCTCTAGCCAATGGCTATTGGGTAGTTCATGAGCCTTATTATTATGTGCGAGCCTAATGAAGTATCTTCATAAGTTTTATTTCCTAGTTCAACAATTTATATGAATATTGCTAGTTATTCCTGAAGCGCTTTTGTGGCTTTTTTTTTTGTTGCTAGTTATTTTCTAGTCCAACAATTTATATGAATACATGTTAATGGGTATAGATTTGGCTAGTGTTGCCCTAACGACGCAGAACACTGCTGAAATTGTAATATTCAGCAAAGTATTCTTCGATCAGAACTTTACACAAGATAGTACGTGCATCAGTTAACAATAAGAAACTACACAATAATATGACATAGGATAGACAAACTTATCGCTATTTATATCGATATTGATAACCATGAATCAAAACGCACCTATACAAACAAGTACAAAAGCTATAGAGAACCAAATAGCAATAGCGATAGCAGTAGATTGTAAATCAATTTAAAGAACATGAGGATTTTTTTTGTTCAGCTGGAGTTCCAAACTCTTTAATTGATCTTTAGACTGAAAGGTTGAAGAATAACTTATCGATGTGGACCTTTTGTAAGCATTTGACATGTTACATATCTTTAGTTATAATCAGAAGTCCTATACTAAATGAAATTTTTTATAGCTTTTCCTTCTAAACTTTCGCAATTTCACATGATTATAAACCAAAACTAAAAGTAAGGCAGTAGGTACCATTTTTTTATGAAAGATAACGATAAAGTAGTGAAATAAAAGTCACCTGTGTTTCTGGGAGCTTCATATCGCTGAAAGAGAAACCAATTGCTTTCGTGCAAATTAGTCATTCAACTTCCTGTAAATATTTTTTTTTTCCTACAAGAGAAGGAGATAGCAGGTAGCTAGCATTACATAAGCTGAGAGAAGAGAGGATCTTAGACTGTTGGTATAGGTTACTTTAATACAAACCTGGAGCATATAGTCATGGAACAACTTGCTCTTGTCAATTGAAGAACAACCGAGGAACATCAACCTTATTTTACAAGATACTGAGAATTTCAAGAGTGAAATCTTTTTTGGGTAAGTTCCTTTCATACGTATCCACTGTGTTTGATACATCTCTGATGGCACTGAGTGTTACATAAAAGTGTGAATTGCAAATGAAAAATGTATAATGTTTTTTGGTACTATTTTGAAAAAAAATGATTTATGTTCTTCATTAGAAACGTAAGAATGAATTTTGAAACCTGGAAACTTTGCTCGGGATTGATCAGGAGTAAAATACAACCTTTTCAATCAAAGAATACACAACATCAAATAATGTATTGGCTGACCATGTGGATTTGGGTTGCATACACGAGTCTCTCGTCTCCATTTAGCTCGGCTAAGGCCTTAAGGGCCAGATTCTATTGATAAATTAGAAATCATCACATTTTTATTCATTTTCTTGACATATTTTCATTTAAATCTAGCCCTAGTCCTATTCACCTTCAAGTGCAATCCAGTCACTATAGTTGGCACTTTGAGGAATCTGCATTGCAAATTAATACTGTCTTATATAAACTATAAGTTCCAAATCTCCACATTCATCATAAATATCTCGATTTTCTGCAACATTATCCTAGTGAAAACAGAGAACGAATAAGCTTATAAAAATGCATCCAGAATAAGATAGTAATTCAAATTGAACTAGCTATGAGATATAATTACAAAGCAATAAGAATGAGGAATAGGCATAAGTGCATTTGGATTTAGGCATTTGAAGAGGATATAGCTATGAGATATAATTACAAAGCAATAAGAATGAGGAATAGGCATAAGTGCATTTGGATTTAGGCATTTGAAGAGGATATCGTAGCTAACAATATAACTGAGGAAATCGCCCTGTATAGAGATAAATGGAGGAAAAAGACTTAACACATCCAAGCCCCCATGAAATTTTCTTGCTGGTTTATAATCAATACTGGCGATATTGCAAAAATCCAAATAATGTGGCACAGTAGACATCCAGGAGGTTGGGTGCAGAAACATCTATCCTGTTGTGATTCGTTGCTCTTTAGCTAAATAAATTCAGCCAATGTTCTTCTGAAACAATTTTTATTTGTACGTTAGAAGTATTGTAGCTCATAATATTGAGGCCCTTCTTTGATTGGATGTTAAAAATAAAGTTTTTTTTTCCTTTCCCCCTTCAGTTTTTCATTCAGATTTATGAGTCATCTGTACAATGACAGGCTATAAAAAATGATCCCAGGCCAGGTTTTACAGGGAACTACTGGGGTGTTGATAATTTAGTTATAAAATCTATGCATGTTTTCTAACTTCTAGCAACCCTTACATAATCTCCTTCATATCAGCTTTTAATATTTTGTTTGAAATGTCGCTACGATGCGTAACTGGCCTTTGGCAATCAAGCAAAGCTAATTGGCTCTAGATATGAAATTTCATTTAAACCTGCTAGCAAAGGTCAGACAACTACCGTGCAGTAAAAATTGAAAGATCTACATGAGGGAAATCCAATGTTACTGAATGTGCAAGACAAATCCACCCGCCTTAACGAGTGCATATCTATCCGGAAACTACAACAAAAACAGCTCAAATAACCCAAAAAAGAAAATTAAAAATGCACAAGGCATGAAAGGGTTTTGAACACTGACCAGGTACCCCTCCCAAATCCCAGACCTCCTCCTCCTTCTTCTGCCATTTCTCACGTGTGATCGCGACGAAGATTGCTGATGCTCCTGTATCTATCTACATCTGTAAGCTCATTTTTGTCAGCCAGTCATTTAATCAAACAGGTTTTGGACGATGCGCTAGTATTGTCCCCCTAGATTTTGGCCGGTCTGTTGGTGTCATAATCCAGATTCCAGCATGGGCTCTTTACTCGCTATCTGAAAGTCTTTATATTTGAACCGAATCAAGAACAAAAAGTTTTCTGATACAATCAACCGGCATTTTCTTGTGACGCTAGTGCGTGCATGCACAAATTCAAAATTTGAGGTTTGAGATGATGTGCAAGCTGGAGGGATCGGATGAGTGAGGGGGGGATAGATAAAGTTAAAATATAACATTGTCTTTCCTTAAATAATAGTAATACATGATAGGTTCAACATTGCAGAAACAATAATTTTTCCATAGAAACCACCTTCAAAATATTAAAAACAGGGGATAGATAAAGTTAAAATATAACACTGTCTTTCCTTAAATAATAGTAATACATGATAGGTTCAACATTGCAGAAACAATAATTTTTCCATAGAAACCACCTTCAAAATATAATCGTGCCACAAGAAGGCACATTTTATTTTCAATTTATACATAGATCACATTTAAAAGATTTTTTGTTGCAGTCAACCACTTGTCCTACTTTTCAATTAATTTTTTCAGTTGTTAATCCCACAAAACCTCAATTAAGAATCATATTTTAAAGGTGCTTTGATGTAATGGCTAATTGCAATTGTTAGAATACAAAACTATAACTCTTAACTCTCATTATGACTTTAGAGCTTTGGTGTAATGGCTAGAAGGAATTTAACATAGTATCAGAGCAACCCATGTTCGAATTGAAAATAAAAAATAGTTTCTATAGAACGACCATATTTTAAAGGTGCTTTCGGGGGGGGAGCCACCATAAAAACAATTACATAGTTTCTTCTTCTTCCTTTTTAATATTGATGGAGTCTGATTAATAAAACAATTGAATGTAACAATTTTTTTAATTAAAAAAAAAAGAATTTATCATTTTCTATTTGTAGGTTTTAAAACAATTCTTGTAAAATCGGAAATGTTGTTTCTGGTCAAACAATAGCAATTTTATGCATCATACTAGTTGTGATACAACATCAACAATTCCAATATGTGAATCTCTACCATCAAAAGCATAATCATATAATTCATATTCCTCATCTTCCATGTCTCGTAACTGTCTATACAAGATTATGACTAATGATTTATCTTCGACAATTGTGTTGTTGAGAATTTCACCCTTAGTAGCCTATCATATCTATACATATTAATATGCAGTTATTGTGGGATTGAGATATGATCAAGCGAATCAATGAGTTATATGGGTAACAACGAAACAAGAGGAGTGTGGTGTCATTAGATATACAATTAAGAATAATTAAAAAAAAGGTTAATAGTCCAATATGGATCGTGTGGGGATCTATTAATGGGCTTAAGTAATAAACCTTAGATTTTAATTATAATGATGATTAAATATTTATGATAGTATATAAGCTAAAGAACTTTGTAACTAAGTGCGCTTTGGTAAGAGTAATATTAGGATGAGTGATCTTCTAGAAGTTATACTTTTGAATAGTAATGCTCTTTATATTTTTGTAGTCTAGACACAATTATGTGTCACCAATCTTGATACATATGCATGTGTCATGAGTTTTGTGACACATGTATACGCCGTTACACTCGACATATATATGTGTTGTGAGTTTTGCGAGACATGTATGTATCACAAACTTTTTGACATATGTATGTGTTACAAGTTTTGCGATGCATCCTCACTTATCTTCACACATGCTCTGTTAGGTTGGGGGTGGATACCAACCTTCGCCGGTGGAGGAGCTCCGACGAGCTCCAGGATGACGCAGGCGAGCTCAAGCCCTACGAGCGAACGCCGCCCTGACCTTGGCGTTTTGATGACGGCTCGAACCTCGCGTTGGGCGACTCCGACCCTCGCGTCCAAGATCCCGACCCTGGCGTTTGCGGGGAGGGGGCGTTCCGACCTCGGCGTCCAAAAGGGACGCTCGCGTGGCTGGCGACAGGCTGTCGCCAGCCTGTCAATTTTCGGCTATAAAAGCCCTCTTTCTCCCGATGCCCTAGTTGCTTTTTTCTCCCCCCTCTCTCCGATTTTTCTTCTGGCGGCTACCAAGAACGCAGCAGCATTATCTCCAGCTCTAAATTGATTTTTGAGGGGAGATTAAGAAAAAGATTTAAGAAGAGAGAGAAATCAAAGAGGGAATTTATTGTGGACTTCATTTATTCTCAAAAGAGATTTTGAAAGGGTTTATTCCCTTTATTTATTAACACTGTAGCTACAATGTTCTTTTGAGAGATCTTATTTTTGATCTGC